CCCAGAACTGCAAGAAAAACAAATACCTGGGAGGAAACTGATTGGTGATAACTAGAGAGGTATATATCTCATCTTATTTCCTATAGAAATATATATAGATGAGGAAGGAATGGAAGTAAAATTCATTGTGTGTTTTCTAATGCTGACCATGTTCATATCCAAAGACTTCACAATTCTACTTCTGGGGAACATGGCCCTCGGAGACGCATACAGAATTCAGTTAAAGGCATGCATTAGAACTGTGCTGACTGTAGTAGCCACAAGTAGTTACTTATATTTAAAATATTTAGTAAATCCAGTTCCTCAATCACACTGAGCACATTTGGAGTGTTAAAACCATTATGTCTAAAGTTACTTATTGGACAGCACAGATCATAGACCATTTCCATTAAAAATGAATATTCTATTAGACATACTCTGTAGTATAGACACCTTTGGCAGCTCTACTCTTTAAAACCTGTGCCATCCACACATCCAATAGGACAGGCAAACTATGTTAATATTCACACTATTCAATACTATACAGCAGTGGTAACTCATGCTCTACAATTTATTACATGTAAATGGTGTGGGTAAATCTCACAATGTTGGATTAAAGGAGCGACATAAAAGAGCTCACACTGTAGACTCAATCTGCAGTAAAAAGTCAGGGCAGGTCCCAGCAGTAGTTACTCTGGGAGGGTGAGTGTGACTGAAGGAAAGCATATGGAGTTGTGCTTTCTGTGTACATATTGCACTACAATCAAACATTAAGAAGTTCAGTCTACTGGATGCTGTGCCCTTTTCACTCAGAATGCCATCTGATTGTTGAAAAGCAAAATCAATATACAGAAAGTATGATCTTTCTTTCCCGTATGTCCTCTTCACCATCAACTGGATACCATGTGCAGAATGCAACACACAGTAACTGTACACTAAGGGTGAAAATTCTGAATGATTTCCCTCACATTAGAGACCAGAGAAGGGAAAGGGCTATTAAACATGATGGCACTGAGTAGATTTCTAGCGTGCTGCCTGATTTTCCAGTTTACTCACCAAGAAAACATACGTGGTTACTGGCTTCTTGACAAACTGATGTAAATTGATGACAGATGTACAGTAAGTTCTGCTTAAAAGGGTGCCACATTCCTTGGAATAAAATGCTGGAGAAATTCAAAATACTATGATAATGATGACTAATTTGTAAGTCTAGAGTACAAACCTCCACAATGAGGATGGCAAAACTTATAAAAAATTCAAGGAATGCTTACAGAGATGCATTTGGGGCAGAAGCAAAGGTGAAAACAGAAGTTCCCCATGTAGGGATGTCCTAGCTTAGGGTTCCTCACACTAAGCAAGGACTTAGGCTATTAGTTTACTGGGGAGGAACTGGAGTGATGAGGCAGAGAAAATGATAAAAGGGAAAAAAGCAATGAAGGGCGTGTTCAAGAGATGGTTCTAGTTGTGAGCAAGTGGAATGTACCCACTGGTGACATGGAAGCTGAGAGATTTATTGGCCAGCTCCCATCCTTTTATTATTCTATTTATATAAAATGTCCAGAATAGGCAACCTATATAGAATGGAAGTAGATTAGTGGTTGCTTAGGGCTGAGGGAACAAGAAGATTGACTGCAGGGCCTAGTTTTTCTTTGAGGTGAACAAAATTTCCTAAAATTGATTGTGGTAATGGTTGCATAACTGTGAATAAGCTAAACATCACTGAACTGTAAGCTTTACAGCAAATAGTGTGTATGGTATATAAACTATATCTCAATAAAACTGTTATAAAAGTCAAAGCTTACTCTAAATAAGTGTACGTGCTTTGCCCATTCATTATGCGGTTCTGTCATATGCCTGTTCCTGGATAGAGGTGATATCATAGCCTACTCATTTTTTTTCCCAAGTCCAGAGCTTTCCACATGCACATGCTCCACCACTAAGCTCCATTCTAGCCCATACTCCAGTAGCTTGCTCCTCTTCTATCACATGCTTTTTATGCTCTTTTCTGACATAAAAAATGACTGGAAATAGATGTTACAGGACACACAGAATACTTCCAGCATCTTCAGTTTTGCCTCCTCTAGAA